GGTCAAAATCAGAAAAATAAAGACAAGATAATGATAGAAATTGCATCTTTCAAGAAAAATCATGAAAGATGAGCTATTTTCTATGATTCTACGAGGATTTTGGAAAAAGTTACAAATCAAACAAAAAAATGGTCTGCTAAATATTTAGCAGGCCAATGGAGACGCAGAGAAACGCGAGCAACATTAGCAGACCCAAATTTTGCCTTTTCGCTCATAATTTCCTTCAAAATTAAAAGAGAAAACACGTTTTTTCGAACATTAGCAGGCCAAAACATGAATTAACTAACAAAAAACACCATTTTTTTTCTCCGAAAAATCGTTAGTTTTCCTAGCATTCTAAGAAAAAGAAAAGTGTGAGAATGAAGAAAGAAAAAAAATCGAAAAAGCCTCTCTCTCCACACCAAACAGAATAATAACGCCTTCTCCTCTTCTCGTCATGTGTATCTCTCCTTCTCCATCATATATTTTTTGTTCGGTCGGGCGCCGCCGGCGGGCGTCCTTCTAAGGAATGAGGAGTGGTGAGAAAACGGGAGGGAATAACAACGGGCGTAGCACACGGAGCTCAGGAGAAGAAGAAGAAGGAGGAATATCGATTTTCTTGCGCCCTTCCGAAGCCATGTTGATGTTGTCAGAAGAATCGACTGGTTAATGTCAGAAGAATGCTTTGAATGTCATGAGAAAAACGAAAAAATGAAGAAAGTGTATACTTTTGACGATAATCGCTAAATAAATTAGGATATTTTATGGCTCATTGAAAAGCTTTTTTTTTCAGAAAAGGAGAGAAAAAAAAGGATAATCCCAGATTTTCTAGCCGAAGATTAAATGAATTTATGTATGTGATCTCAGAAAAAGAGTAAAAAGCACGTGCTCAATATTTAGCAGGCCAATCGAGTCGCAGAGCGCCAGAGAATTGGTCTGCTAATTCACATTTAGCAGACCAACGCGCTATTAATTGCTTGTATGGTTTTTGGTTCTATTGTTGCCTTAAAAAGTGTTTTTTTTTGCTTTTATTGGCGATTTTAAGCCTCGCCCACTTTTTGACATAACGAAGAGTCAAATTCGAAAATTCGAAAAGTGCAAAAGTAGTTTACAGACCGTATTTTCTCGGAAATCGCTGAAAATTGAACTTTTTAACTGAAATTTCAGCCAAATTCTTTAATATACAGATATTAAATTTTGCGGAAAATTCAAATTTTCAATCGATATTTCAGTTTTTTTAAAACATGTTTTGATGCGCTTTTCAGGGGGTACGAAGAATTCGAACGCTTCCAAAATCGAACAGACCTAAAATCGGACATGTGTCAAAACAGAACAAGAGCAGAATCGAACTGTGCGAAATTCGAACTGTGTCGGAGTCGAACTGTCCCTAATTGGAACGCTGTTAGGCATGGGGCGCGCTTGCATTATTGTTGTTGTCTCATTTTTTCCCCGCAAATTTTTATTTTTAGCTTAAAAAAATATTTTTG